TATTTTTATATTATTTTGCTTTATTGAACCGGATATTTAAAAATCTCCTTCAGGTGCCTTACATATTATTGGTCGCTTTTTAAATTGGATCTTATATATATATATATATATATATATATATATATATGAAAGAAAAAAAGAAAAACAAAAATCTGAATATGCATTTATGTAGTATTAATGTTAAAATAAAGTCGACGTCGGACGTTTCGGTCTATTTAAGACCATCTTCATGAACATTTTCATTTAAACATAATATTTTAACATTAATACTACATAAATGCATATTCAGATTTTTGTTTTTTCTGTATTTTTCTTTCATACTGTCGGATTTATATCCATATATTTGCTTACATACTGTCTACTGGAAATACAAAACTGAATTTACTTTATAACGTGGAAGATTTCAAGCTTGGACGAGAATAATAGATTCTATTGATCAAGTAAGGAATGGATTTATTATCGAACTGTTTTTTAGAACTGTTCCATCGTTTTTGAAATCACTTTTGGATTTGCCTTGTCACGGGAAGGACTTCAAGCTTGTTGAAGATATAAGAACCAATTGATCACTACGTATTCCGACATCAACGGAAGAGATTTCTTGAACTGTTTATAAAAAATTTTTCAATCGACTTTTTAATATTTTAATTTTGGAAATCATCTTCGAATACGTTTTAACAACATCGCCCACGTGACGATTACGTGATCATATTTAAACAGAATGCTGATCTGTATAAAATTTCAGTTATCTGTGTGAATTATTTGGGCTCTTATGTCCATCGTCTTTTTTGTGTTAAATTTTATAAGTTATAATGTTAATTATGTTTTAAATGAAAATGTCCATGAAGATGGTCTTAAATAGACCGAAACGTCCGACGTCGACTTTATTTTTAACATTAATACTACATAAATGCATATTCAGATTTTTGTTTTTCTGTATTTTCTTTCATACTGTCGGATTTATATCCATATATTTGCTTACATATATATATATATATATATATATATATATATATATATATATATATATATATATATATAAAGGTGCATTTTCCAGATGTTACTTCATTACGTATCCATATTTCATATGTATGAATAAGTTGTACGCAAACTGAAAATTATTCCTTCCCAGTGGTAGAATTTTAATATATTATTAATCACACGTCATACTATTTAAAAAAAATATATAAGATTGAAAAGCTTTTTTCGAGCAATTTTACTTATAGCAAATTTCATCGATTTTAATTAATTTAAAGCGAGTTTTTTTTCTTTCAAATGATCGATTTTAAACAGAGAAATTGTTGTTATTAATAACTTGCCATGTCTAAAACAAAGAATTCATTTTCACGTGGAAATAATCAGTCGAATAATCAATTGCTCCTTTTTTTTGGTGGGGTCAGTGAGTTTCATCTTTCTCTCCGTTTAGTTCAAAACCTGTTACAATAGTAAGATTCCAAATGATGATAATTAAAGGCGCGTATGAAGCTCACCCGATTTGGATGATTGTAAAGATTTCTCAGAATTAATCTGTAGAAAAGAACAATATGCTTTAAGGAAAAAAAATAATAGGAAAACTATAGCTGCAGCCGACGTGTTTCGTCCAATATGGACTTTTTCAAAGTAAAAAACGAAATAAAGTTATTGAAACAAACTATTTATACATAACAAACAGAATGTCGTTAGAAGCTAGAAGAATTTAGAAACGTTATTGTATATTCATCTGCTCAACTATAAGAATTACGTCAATTTCTTTGTTTGAAGAGAATATTTTCACGTGTAAATATATTGTTTGTATTGTTTTGATTTTATAAATGCTAGACTCATAAAAAAGAACATAATTCAATCAGAAGGAAAATCCTCGAAGGTGCCGCCATTGAATATTATCCAAATATTAATCTACGCCCAGTTTTTTTCCCAATATCACCTTTCCTAACAGAATCACTACACTCCTAAGTCAATGTACACAACAAATATATTAAGAATTCAAAAGAAAACGGTTGAATCCGTAAGCACAATACAAATAATATTTCTACATGTGAAAATATTCTCTTGACGTAATTTTTTCAGTTGAACATATGAATATACAATAGCGTTTCTAAATTCTTCTAGTTGCTAAAGGCATTTTGTTTGCTATTTATAGATAATTTGTTTCAATAAATTCATTTCGTTTTTTTGCCTTGAAAAATTCCACATTGTACGAAACGCGTCGGCTATAACTACAGTTTTCCTATTGTTTTTTTTTCTTCCTTAATACATATTGTCTTTTTCTACTGGTTAATTCTGAGAAATTTTTAGAAGATCACGCAGTTTGTACGCATATGAGAGGAAGATTACGGTTAACCCTAAATTTGAACAGGTTAAGATTATAGTGATCGGGAAACATCGTCTTGGGCGTCGGTTCCACAGAGCAGTTGTTCGCTGGAAGAAGCTGTTTGAGTGGAATTTACTTCTCGCCGATGGAATACAAATGGAATGTGTGTGATTTGCTACAATGTAAGTGTCATGGCGGGTCCTAGCCATGAAGGTTAGACCGAACAGAAGCAAGGAATGTAGTTCGTCCGAGCACTTTCTGTGGAAGTAATGATAGAGCAGTGAGAGGTTTGCCACATCCCGCTTGTGAGGGAGGGGTTAGAAGGTGAAAAATAATTTGTCACCCACAAGGACGCTTTTGGACACTATCGGTGCTGGGAAGTGCGGTTCGGCCAGATCCCGTCCGAATATGACAACAGTGCTCCATTTATGGCCTCATCTGGCTCATGTAAAAGTAGAAGATAGCGCGTGGAGTTAGGTACTGGAATGGTACAAGGAGCCGACCATTTCATCTATATCTTTAGCGAAGGCTCGTACGTAGGAATTCCCCTTGAGGTCAGGTGTAAGTTTAACGCCCAACAGTTTCTCAAGGCAGGGGTGCCCCTCTGAGGGGCCACCCGTTCATCTTGACTGGAGGTAGTTAGGGATCTAAATTTCCCTAAATGCTACAGCTCTTTCAAGTAAGGATGGTAGTTTCCGTCCTATCATATTGCTATACTGCGGATTTTTAACATCTTGATTATATTATTATTTTCTCTACTGATTAGGTGTTTTTGTATCCTTAAAATGGTTAAAAACAGACAAAGGTGGTACTCGTGTGAAAGGAACAGCCACACGAGCGTAGATGGAAGAAAGAGAGGTTTATTGTAAAAGAGAATAGACTACTGAAAGACAGGGAGTCGACTAGCATTTCCCGAAACCAGTTAGACAGATAGACAAGATATCTACCAACCGCCCCACGCGGTCAGTTGTGGCACAAGGCTAAATTTAATCTGGGGTATCCGACCCCGTAGGCTCGACCAAAAATTCCCCGTATAAAACGGGGTCGAGTAGCTGTTTCCCGAGACGAATCTCTATCTTTCGTCTGGGGATCCTCTCTGCCCGGAGGCAGAGAGTTTTACCAGCACAGCTGGAGATGAATTTCCAACTACAGACAGAAATTTGGATAGACAGACAGATAGACTCTGGTATGTCCTACATATATTACTGATATAGTCAGTACATAAAAGGGAGAGTGGAAAATTCCATTACAACACGTGCTATTTTACTTATGGCTGTTGTTAAAGCCCTCAAATTATGTGATGTATGTTATTTGGTACAGTTTATGATTCTTTATGTTCGGAGAAGGATGGTTCTGGCTAAGACTTAACACATGGAGACCGGAATGAGAACAACTTCCCCGCTTTAAACTGAATAAAGGATTCAATTACAAATTCACCGAAGGTCATGCATCTGAAGAAGGATGGCGGACACAACGGTCGAAACGTTTTGATCGTAGCAACAAAGATGGTGACATTAATCCAAGGGTTACAAAATGTTAAAATTCTTCAGTTAAATTTATTGATTCCTTACTTATTTTTTCTTCTTCCTTTTAATATGAAGGACAGAATTACTGTGAATTAATTACACCCCACAATAATGATTCAGCTTTCGTCAAACGTGAAATATCTCTAAGGATCTCATATTGAACGCAATGAAGCCAATGTCTAAGAAAATTAATAATGCCAGGGGGTATAAGTTTAGCTTCTTCAACATGATTGTGATCATTAACTTATTTAATAAGCAAGGTCCAATCATTCGCTAAGTTAATTTCCTATACGCACACGGAGAGTCATTTTAAAATTAGCTTGTCAATTCTATATCGTGAAAACAATAAAATTTGGGAAATTGATGCATTAATAATTCCTCATTCTTGGAGTTTGAAAACTCTTGGTAAGTATGTCAACTGTAATCACAATGAGGCTCCTTGAACGCCTTATGGATCTACAATTCCCTCCTGACCTCGGAAGACTGTCGGCTCATTGTATCGCTCGAGGAACTAGCAGATTTCTTCTGGCCGGTTTTATTCTTATAAGCTCCAAATTAGACCAAAAATGAAATTTTATTGCCATATGTGAACCAGAGCCGCTCAATATTTACAGCACTGCTAGAACTCAAAATCATTTGCGCTGTCTTGTGACTTTCCAATTCCTTTTTCACACTTTAAATTGCTCCATTTATTTGTTCAAACCTGCCAGGTAGGTTACTTGCTGCTTTCCGCTAATTCTTTTACCTTCCCCGAACCTTGTGAGCGTTAACTTTCTTTCTTTCTTGCTCATATAGATATTAAAACATCCTTAGTTGGAGTTGCCAATAAAAACATCTCGATTTTTCCAATGTTCTTCTTCATTTGTGACATTTATCCAGCAAGCACTTTCATACAATATGTTATTTAGATAGATAAATATATTTATATATTACAAAAAACAAAACAAAAAAATGAATGTTTTTACTTCAGTTCAGATGTTATTTTTCCATGATTTACTATAGAGCTCAATTGTCGAAATACATTTTTCCACATTCGAAGGCGGTTCTGTTTTTCCGTTAGCCAATCGATCATTCTTAACCTAAACATCCGTGACTACTTAATTTTGACGTCCCTCATTTGGTAGGGTTTGGTTCAATTAGGTTTCTCTTAAACGATTCTTCAACCATTATACAGTTATCGATTTTGAATCGTGGTAATTTTGGGTATAGATATGAAGAGAATGGGATAGATAGATAGATAGATAGATAGATAGATAGATAGATAGATAGATAGATAGATAGATAGATAGATATGAAGAGAATAAGACAGATAAATAGATAGATAGATATGAAGAGAATAGGCTAGGTATGAAAAGAATAGGATAGATAGATGGATAGATAGAGAGATAGTGAGATATGAAGAGCATAGGATAGATAGAGAGAGAGATAGTTAGATACATATGAAGAGAATAATATAGATAGAGAGATATGAAGAAAATAGATAGATAGATACATATGAAGAGAACAAGATAGATAGATATATAGTTAGGGAGAATAGAAGAGAATAGGATAGATAGATAAATAGATAGATAGATATGAAGAGAATAGGCTAGGTATGAAAAGAATAGGATAGATAGATAGATAGATAGATAGATAGATAGATAGATAGATAGATAGATAGATATGAAGAGCATAAGATAGATAGAGAGATAGATAGTTAGATAGGTATGAAGAGAATAATATAGATAGATATGAAGAAAATAGATAGATAGATAGATAGATAGATAGATAGATATAAAGAGAATAAAGTAGATAGATAGATAGATAGATAGATAGATAGATAGATAGATATGAAGAGAATAACATAGATACATAGATAAATAGATAGAAAGATAGATATGAAGAGAATAAGATAAATAGATATATAATTAGGGAGAATAGAAGAGAATAGGATAGATAAATAGATAGATAGGTAGATATGAAGAGAATAGGCTAGGTATGAAGAGAATAAGATACATAGATAGGGAGATAGCTAGATATGAAGAGCATAGGATAGATAGAGAGATAGATAGTGAGCTAGATATGAAGAGAATAATATAAATAGATATGAAGTAAATAGATAGATAGATAGATAGATAGATAGATAGATAGATAGATAGATAGATAGATAGATATGAAGAGAATAAGATAGATAGATAGATATATAGTTAGGGAGAATAGAAGAGAATAGGATAGATAGATAAATAGATAGATAGATATTAAGAGAATAGGCTAGGTATGAAGAGAATAAGATAGATAGATAGATAGATAGATAGATAGATAGATAGATAGATAGATAGATATGAAGAGAATAAGATAGATAGATAGATATATAGTTAGGGAGAATAGAAGAGAATAGGATAGATAGATAAATAGATAGATAGATATTAAGAGAATAGGCTAGGTATGAAGAGAATAAGATAGATAGATGGATAGATAGATAGATAGATAGAGATAGATAGATAGATAGATAGATAGATAGATAGATAGATAGATAGATAGATAGAGAAATAAGATAGATAGATAGATAGATATAGTTAGGGAGAATAGAAGAGAATAGGATAGATAGATAAATAGATAGATAGATATTAAGAGAATAGGCTAGGTATGAAGAGAATAAGATAGATAGATAGATAGATAGATAGATAGATAGATAGATAGATAGATAGATAGATAGTTAGATATGAAGAGCATAAGATAGATAGATAGATAGATAGATAGATAGATAGATAGATAGATAGATAGATAGATATGAAGAGAATAGGCTAGGTATGAAGAGAATAGGATAGATAGATAGAGAGATAGCTAGATATGAAGAGCATAGGATAGATAGAGAGATAGATAGTGAGCTAGATATGAAGAGAATAATATAGATAGATATGAAGAAAATAGATAGATAGATAGAGAATAAGATAGATAGATAGATAGATAGATAGATAGATAGATAGATATGAAGAGAATAAGATAGATAGATAGATAGATATGAAGAGAATAAGATAAATAGATATATAATTAGGGAGAATAGAAGACAATAGGATAGATAAATAGATAGATAGGTAGATATGAAGTGAATAGGCTAGGTATGAAGAGAATAGGACAGAAAGATAGAGAGATAGTTAGATATGAAGAGCATAAGATAGATAGAGAGATAGGTAGTTAGATAGATATGAAGAGAATAATATAGATAGATATGATGAAAATAGATAGATAGATAGATAGATAGATAGAGAGATATGAAAAGAATAAGATAGATAGACAGATATTAAGAGAATAAGATAGATAGATACAGAGTTAGAGAGAATAGAAGAGAATAGGATAGATAGATAGATAGATAGATAGATAGATAGATAGATAGATAGATAGATAGATAGATAGATAGATATGAAGAGAATAGGCTAGGTATGGAGAGAATAGGATAGATAGAGAGATAGTGAGCTAGATATGAAGATAATAATATAGATAGATAGATAGATAGATAGATAGATAGATAGATAGATAGATAGATAGATAGATAGATAATTAGATATGAAGAGAATAAGATAAATAGATATATAGTTAGAGAGAATAGAAGAGAATGGGATAGATAGATAGATAGATAGATAGAGATAGATAGATAGATAGATAGATAGATAGATAGATAGATAGATA